TTCCTTCTCCATGAAGTCCTTCTAACCTCTGCCTGCCTGCCACAATCCCCTCTTCTTCATTTGTGCCCCCAATGACCTTTGCTGCCTAGTTTCCACATGGGATGCACAACAGTACACTGCCTGCTCCTGGTTGGACTGTGAGCACTGCCAAGGCATGACCTTGGATTCTTTGCTCTCAGCCGATGGTGTCTCATCGGTTCAGTGAGTGACTAGGTCCATCCCCTGGTGACTGCAATGAATCCAGCTTCCCAAGTTGTCTGATTGGCTCCTAGCTTGTATTTAAGGCATTAGGACAACCCTATTTACTGAAAGTCTTTTAGGTAAATGTTTTTGTCTTTTTTAATTGAGGGGTAATATATAAAGTGCATAAAAGTGCAGTATCTTATGGGTATTACTTGATGGCGTTGTACCTATGATCACATTTGTGTGTAATTCAGGTCAAGGTAGGAAACATTTCTGTCACCTGTGCAGCTCCTCAGTCTGTAACTAACACCCCTATTCCTTCCTCCAGCTAATCACCATTCTGATTTCCAGAGGTGCCTTTATTGTAAAGGTACTTTTAAAAAATTGTGGTGAGCCCTGGCTGGTTTGGCTTAGCGGTTAGAGTGTCGGCCTGCAGTCCAGAGAGGCCCAGGTTTGGTTCCCGTCAAGGGCACGTACCTCGGTTGCGGTTTGTCCCCGGCCCAGGGTGGGTCATGCGGGTGGCAACCACTCGATGTGTCCCTTTCACGTCGATGTTTCTCTCTCTCTCCCTCTCACTCTATCTGAACAAAATATGGAAAAATGTCCTCGGGTGAGGATAAAAATAAATAAAAAAATAAAAAATAAATAAAAATTGTGGTGAAATACATATAACAAATACCATTTATGATGGAGTAACCATTTTTAAATATACAGTTCAGTGGTATTAAGTACATTCCCTCAAGGTATTCTTTACATTTAAATGGTACTGGCCATGCTTTCTTGAGGTAAAACAACTGAATGATATAGAGGCAACTAGAGTAGAAAGTGAAAGTTCCCCCAACCTCAGTATCATCCTCAGAAGGAACCACTATTTTCAGTTTGTGTATCCTTCCAGACCTTGCTTGATTGTGACTAGCTTTTTCACATGCAGTCTGTGTCCCAGCTCTTATAAGGGGGTGCACCCAGACCTGGTGGAGGATGTTCTGGTTGACATCTGGGGCATCGGCCATGCTACCTTTTCTCATTCACTCGGACTCCCGGGCCTTGCATGTTTCCATCCTTCCTCCTGACCCCTTGCTCTTGACCTCTCTTGATGCCCTTGCAGAACCTGCTCTCAGATCCTACAGCACCTGAAAGCCTTAGTTATCACTGACCTCTGGGAAGTCACCTCAAGTATTCAACTTTTAGAAAGGACCAAAGCCTTAGGTTGAACAGATGAAGGCTGGTGGAAAGCATCATTAACCAGCAAGCAGGCAGGCACAGACACTGTGGGGAGCCATTAAGCCCTTAAATCATATTGTTAGCCTTCATCTGAAATCACATTGTTGGCCTTAAGCTGGTCCTAACCCCAGAAACCAGCCTAAATGTCCAGCCAGAACCCAAGGCACTTCCCCTGTGGCCCCCAGTTGGGTACCTGACAGAATCTGTGGTCAGCAAGGAGGGCCCAGGATCTCCACGCTCCTCCTGTAGCTCAGGCTCCAGGTCCCTGGGAGATGAGCCTTCGGTGAAACCCTGCCTGTGGCACTTGGGAAACAGACCTTATTTCAGAATACTTTTCTCTGAGGCACATGTGGCGTGCTTTCTTAATGCGAAGAAAAACCCAAGCCTTCTGACTTTTTCCTCAGAAGTGGGCTTTGCCACTTTTGGCTAGTTTCATCAGCCTTGCTGTTCCACTCTGGGGGGTTCAGCCCCTGAGGGTGTCAGGCAACTTTTTTCTTTCCTCCCTTTTGTTTTGTTTTGTTTTCTCCACTTTGGATACAGTATATTACAGGCAGCCATGAATTCATTCAACAGCCCATCCCTTCGAGCCTCTGCCCAGTTCCAGCACCTGGTTTAGTGTTGAGAGCATAGTGGGGAGTAGGATGGACAAGGACCCCTCTCCTGGGGGCTTTCCATGTGGAACACCTGGGCTTGTCCAGTGTAACAAGATTCCTGGGAGGCTGGCAACCACAAGGCTCTTGAACAGGGCAGCAAAAATGATCTTGAATCTCTGCCCATGTTGCCCAGCCAAGCCTTACCAGCTTCTCCATGGTAACTGGGAGATTTCAATGTTGTTAGTATTAAGGGGGAAAATCAGGTTTTTTAAATATAGAAGAAAAAGAGGGAGAATAAAGTTCATAATTCCAATGTCCAGAAGATCCTTGTTGGAGTATTTAAAAAGTTAATGTGCATATATGATTAGAAATGTCAAACCTAACGGAAAGGTACAGAAATGAAAAAAATGTAAGCGCACTTGTGTATGTGTGCACACACAGTACCGCCCACCTTTCTTTCCCCAAAGATGAAACCTTAATATATTCGTATGCAACTTTCCAAGAAAAATTGTGTTTATACCATCAGGTGGAGCCTTTGAAAAGCTTTACCTGAAAGGGACCCTACGGTGCTCCCTCTTCTTACTTTTTCATCCCGCTGCTGTTTCTGTATCAGTCTATCACTCTGCGAACAGACTGTAATTACCTAACCACTCCCTGATGGACATTTAGGTTATTTCCAGCTGTTTACTGGGTAGGTTAGATTTTAAAGGTTTGAAATTTCCCCAACAAACTTGCCTTCCCTTCTTCCACTCCCCGATACCTGATCACTGAGAAAAACAGATCCCTTTGGAAAGTTTTAAAATTCATTTTCATAGTTGATTTTTTTTGAAATGTAGGCAGGGAAAGGAAGATAACTGTCATTCATATAGGCTCATGATTTCATTTAGTTTTAAGTCAGAATTATTTTCCCAGTGTTTTAGACCAAGAACCCTACAGCCAAGGCAGAGTTCAGCTGTGGTTCACACAGCTGTGACCAGCCTGGACTTTGTGCACCGTTTCACTTCCTTTAGTTCTGTCAGTTCTGTACATCTGCATCCACACAGAGCTCAGGGAGCAGTTTCTTCATCCATCCTTATGAATTTCTGCTCGGAACGTCTAACTGAGTGGGGTTTTGCTCCGTGTTTGGTCCTGGTTTTCTGTTTCTGAAAGCTTTGATTATGTATGACGTGCTCTAACATTCATTGGGAGTAAGTGGTAATCAGAGGAAGCTGTCACTTCAAAATGGGGCCCTAACTTATCAGGTTTACGTCCTTCATGAGAGGATGGGGGACATCTGAGGCTGTGTTTGATCACACAGCATCCTGAGTGGGCTCTGATGGATGCTGTCTGTCAAGCAGTGCACGCTCCGAATGCTCTGGGTTCTTGGTGGTTGGCATCGGTAATGCACTCTCTGGGTTTCCTGGACACTGGAATCATGTCTCGATTGATTTGTCATTTTTGTGGATGAATAATCCTAAGTGGGTAAATAAAAATAAATGTTTGGATTTGGATGCTAATTTAGCTTTCAATTACGTTTTGTTTTGAGTGTTATTGAAATTAATTTGTGTTCCTTGAGCACATTCTACTTATTGGCAAGATACAGTGGCCCCCAGAATGTAGCTGGTGGTTGTTTGGGGTAAATTCAGAAGATGGATAAACCATATCAAGATAATGGAAAAGTTTACTTGAAACGTTTTCCCTTTTTAAATGACAGAATGATGCCTGAGCATCATCCAGACCCTGGAAAGAGAAAAACACTTCAATCAGAATCCTGCCCCAAACAAATCAGAGTTTTTTTTTGTCTTCACTCCTTTCTAGTGCTGGTCCATTTGCATGTAAATTCTTTTTAGAGAGTACTAAATTTGGAACTAAGTTTGAGCTCCAGATGAAGCACTGTTATTTTAGGAAGAGCTGGGGCTTGGGGATTGGGCAAGCTTCTATTAAAATTCTAACTGCTGCTCAATAGCTGTGTGACATTGGGCAAGTCACTTAACACCTCTGAGCCTCTATTTTCTCATCTATAAAGTGAGACTGATAATTCCTATATCTCCTGGTTGTTACAAGGACTGAGACACAGCCATGTTTTCCAGAATATGGGACATGAGCCACTGGTGCCACAATAGGCCTTCTTCATTTCTCTTAGAAGCCTTCTGACTTTCATTTTTGTTAATCCTCACCCGAGGATTTTTTCCACAGATTTTTAGAGAGAGTGGAAGGGGGCAGGGGTAGAGGGAGGAAGAGAGAGGGAGAGAAACATCAGTGTGAGAGAGACACATCGATTGATTGCCTACCACACGCACCCTGACTAGGGTGGGGGATCAAACCTGTAACCCAGGTACATGCCCTTGACTTGGAATCAGGCCAACGCTCTAACCGCTGAGCAAAACTGGCCAGAGCTCTGTTATTTATTTCTCTAGTAACAAGGTACACTGGTGTTCCATTTCCTTTAGTGATACACAGTTTATTTTAAAATGAATTTATTTAAATAAGAAGTTAATAACATCAATGTGCTGTGGTTAAGACATACATTGTGCAGCTGGCATGTGGGTTTGAATTCCAGCTGCCTCCTTCTGGCTGTGTGACCTTGGATGGGTCATTTAACATCTCTGCGCCTCAATTTCCTCCTCTGTAAAAGGAGGATAACAGTAGTACTACCTCCTGGGATTATAAAGTTTAAATGAGGTAATATAGTTAGAGCCCTTAGAACATATCTGGCACATACAAATACCATGAAGTGTAAACAGAAGCTTTTCATGTAAATGACTGGCCTTTAGGAACATTGGAGCTAGTGTTGGTAAAATGCAATTTCTGACTTAGGACTATGGGCAATAAATGCTAGCTGGTGCTATTGTGTTGATTATTTAATAACGATGATGTTAATAATAGTCATAACAACAGACTAGGAGGTAGCATTTGTTGTTTTGGAAATGAATTTCTTGGGGCACAGACTCTCAGACAGCTTGATAGGATCCAGTGAGATGCAAAGGTTCAAATCCATCTGTTGTCTTGGTTCTACTTTTCTAGGGCAAGCCCAGCATTCGGTGCTTTATTAAACCCACCGAGACACTCGAGCGGTCCCTTGAGATGAATAAGCACAAGGGCAAGCGGCGGGTGCAAAAGAGACCCAACTACAAAAATGTTGGGGAGGAAGAAGACGAGGAGAAAGGGCCCACTGAGGATGCCCAAGAAGACACCGAGAAGACTAAAGGTACAGAGGGTGGTTCAAAAGGCATCAAGACGAGTGGGGAGAGTGAAGGTGAGTGCGCCTGTGAACCCTGCCCTGCTGCCCACGCTGCGAGCCAGGCTGTCATTTGTGTCTGGTCCCCCCTTGTGTGTTAGTGGATGCTTCTCTTCATTCCAGTGTACCTCACTCTAGGCCAGCGATTTTCAACCTTTTTCATCTCATGGCACATGCAAACTAATTGCTAAAATTCTGCAGCACACCAAAAAATTTATGTTTTGCCAATCTGACAAAAAAAATAATAGGTATAATATTTGATTCATTCACACCAGACAGCTGTTGTTGTGTTGGATGGGAAAAGAGGTCAGTGCCCCTGACTAAATAGTCAGGTAGTGCATGTTTTAAAAATTCTTGCAGCACACCAGTTGAAAATCACTGCTCCAAGCAGCCCAGCCATCTGAAGGTAGATCCGGTATAAGACCTGCTGTCCCTGGATGGGTGACCTGGAGCAGGGTTCTGTACTCTTAACCTGTGTTTCAGTTTCCCCATCTGTAAAATGAAGGTAACAAATAATATTTACTTTGTTACTGCAAGAATTAAATGCATTAATACATGTAACATGCTCAGAACAGTGGTTGGCCTGTGTCATAAATATTTGCTGCTACTGCTACTATTACTACTACTGTTATTGTTATCATTGCCATTTTTATCATTATTGCTTTTGTTATTACTCCTGATAATCTGGCTTATGATTTTTGACAGAAGTCATTGTTTCCAGTGCACTGCAGGAAGAAAAGGGGGCGGTGTTTAATGAACTTACATACTTTTAATAAGATTGGGTTTTTGGAATCAAATAATGAAATATAATCCCTTGGATTTTTGCATTAAGATTTTGTTTAGCCCTGGCTGGTTCTGCTCAGTGGTTAGAGCATTGGCCTCTGGTCCAGAGAGACCCGGGTTCGGTTCCTGCTAAGAGCATGTATCTCAGTTGCAGTTTGTCCCCGGCCCTGGTTGGGTAGTGCGGGTGGCAACTACTCGATGTGTCCCTTTCACGTTGATGTTTCTCTCTGTCTTCCTTTCTCTCCCTCCCACTCTATCTGAACAAAAAATGGAAAAATATCCTCGGGTGAGGATAAAAGAAAAAAAAGATTTTGTTTAAAGTCCTGTGTGTTTAGAGTGAGGTATATTTGTGTTTGCCGTCTATGTGCTAAATAAGCAGAATAGTTCAGTCATCTTTTTTTGCCTTTGTCAGGAATGATTGTTTATTTTTTACCTTCCTCTTAGTTAGATTCTAAGACCTTCTCAATCTGGTGAGAATGATCTGCTCTGGGATTAAGCAAATTTAAACTGTCCAGTTCTTTGTGTCATGGGCTGGGCACAGAGCCACACAGATGGGGTCCCTGGTCACAGCCCCGGACACTCAGGGTGAAAGAGGTGATGGGGTGGAAGTGGACTGGAGATCTAGTTGCTGGAAGTGAGTCCCAACACAGAACATCCATTAGGACAGGCATGGTCTCTCTTCGGCTCTCTGCTGTGGTCTGCTGGGGTGTGACGAGTACATTCTGTAAACCATCCTCCTGGGTCCTGAGCTAGTAGTGACTGCCCTGCAGCCAGCTTTCTTTGGCTCGTCAGCCTGGACTCTGTGAGTCCCTGGTCCCAGGTGTCTAAAGCTGGGAAATGGAGTGGTTCAGTAAATCAGTGACTGGGAACTCATTTGTTTAGACAAGTTTTGTGCAGTTATGCAGCCAAAACTCGTCCCCGTCCCCACCTTGATTGCCCCATTCTGATTTTCTTGGCAGTTCTCAGTGAATGCCACGGTCACTTTTCAATAAGTATCACCAAAGCATCTCTCTGGTGCCACCTGGCCCTCTTTTTAAGGCTTAGATCTCCAGTGTGCTTTTACTTCTGTTCAAAGTGTACAGTAAGCATTTTGGTTTAGAAATTATCTTTTGGCTCAAAATCTTCTTTCTTTCTTTTTTTTTTCTTTTTTTAATCCTCACCCGAGGTCATTTTTCCATATTTTGTTCAGATAGAGTGGGAGGGGGAGAGAGAGAGGGAATCATAGATGTGAAAGGAACACATCGAATGGTTGTCACCCTCACGACCCAACCAGGGCCGGGGACAAACTGCAACCGAGGTACATGCCCTTAGCGGAAACCGAACCCGGGTCTCTCTGGACCACAGGCCAACACTCTAACCGCTGAGCCAATCTGGCCAGGGCTTGGCTCAAAATCTTTACCAGCAAATATCACTTTGGTAAGGGAAGGAGAGGGAGGGGCAAAACAAGGGAAGCCATATTTGTTTGCTTATTTGGATCATTTGGATTTTTTTTTTAACTCATGAGAAAATTGTCTGCTTAAAGCCTAGATTTAACTGTCCTGTAGCCACATCAGGGGGCAAAGGGATAACTTTACCCCATTTTGTACTTCGTGTTCTCGTCAATTTTGTTTTGGAAAGATGATTCCCTCTTTCATTCCAGCCCTTTTAAGGGCTGCTCTCTAACCAGGCCTGGGCTGTGACTAACCATGGTGTGGACAGGGCTGTCTTGGCCTCAAGCGCACAACTAAATGAGTCAGCCTGGCCGCCCAGTCCTCATGCACAGGGGCTTCAGTGGGTCGGCAAGGCTGCAATTCTAGCTCACTGTTGGGATCGGGGTAAGAACTCCTGCACACTGAGCCCACCTGTTTTGTGCAGAGGGCAAGGGGAAAATGTTCACCAGTTTCCAAAAATCTATTTTCCAGGCAGTAATGCAGCCAGGTTGTGCCAGACAGGGCCCAGGAATTTCCCGAGGTTTTGCTTGTTCAGTTGGAGCTGACCTCAGAACTCAGGCGAGCATGGTTCTTAATCAGCATTTGGTACCTTCTTATTTTCTTGAACTTGCAGTAGACTTCCCATCTAGCTCACCATAAATAAATACAACTTCAGAGGCCTGTCCATCAAACAGACCTCTAACTGGGCAGCAGGAATTATATTCTGGGGCTTTTTGAACCATACATTTGATTTCTTAGTTATTCTCATATTTGAAGGTGTGGCGGTGGGTGTTCTCTTTCCTAGACTGTATCTTTGTCTGAATGAAACCACACTGCTATTAATTCCTGTGACTTGGAAGGACATCAGGCACATTTCCTAATTTAGTTTCAAGCCAGATGACAGAGTAGATGGGGGAGGTACCTGGGAGATCGGAGACCTGATTTGCAGACTTGTAGTCCTCTCTTGACATCTAGGTTTACTGTGGGTTTTGGATGGTCTTCTCAAGCTTGAGGCCTTTTCTTCTGGAAATTATGATTATAGAAAATATGATTCACATGACTTTATTTTTTTTAAATGAGATATTGGTATTCTTGAGTTTGCAAGATTTAGAAATTTCAGCTCAGGTTGGCTTAAGCAAAAAGGGTGATTATTGTTTATGTAACTGGGAGGCTAGGCAGGGCTGGACCTAGGTACAGAGATGACCATTGGCAGTACCAGGCTCATATCCTATCTACTTACCACCTAGTGGAGAGGGAGCTGCTTCTTTTCACTGGCTGCAGCTGAAGTCTAGGGGGCCAGTGTGTGTTGATGCTGATGGGCCTGGCTTGAGCCCCTGGAGATGGATGTTCTGTGTTGATTGGCGAGGCCTGGGTCACATGTCTGCCCTACAGTGACTCCCTCAGTAAAAACGAGGAGTGTTCATCAGAAGAAGGGGGCATAGCTGCTGGACCAGCACAACAGCAGACCCTCCCCTAGAAAGCCACAGTATTCCAGTGTCTTCATCCCCTGAGGGCCATCTTCTCCCTTGCTATTTTAAGGTGGATATGTTGGTTTCCCCTTCAAATGATCTCTTCTCTAGCAAGCTTCTTGCATTGTCTATGGATCCAGGGGCTTATTGACAGCCTGGATGTAACAAACAGGCACAGGTGACTCTTCAGTAAAGAGATGCTGACACCAGTTCCCCCCTGCCTACCCTGCCATCTGCATGTTGGTGAATCTTTACTTAAAAGGTGGCTTAAAGTATAGGAGTAAAAAGGCATGTGGTTGAAAGTCACAATTTTGCCATGACCTGATTTGAATGTGGCATTAAGATGTTTTTTTTTCAACAAATGCAGCACCCAAAGTTCACACCTCCTTCATGTTTAAGTCCAGACAAAGAAGTTATGTGAAATGAATGTGCACCTGTGGACCCTCTACTCCCATCCCCGGTTTGCACAGAAATTTGATCTGTCTCACTATGATGGGTGACTCATTCTGAAACCAAGAAAATCACAGGGCCCCTAAATTTTCAGAAATTGAATACTAAAAGGAAGACAAGAGTGCCTTCATCCCTGCTGCTGAAGGCGTGTTCACTCGGATGTGTGCTGCTGTCTTGGCTTGCTCTGCAGTTTGAAAGGGCGGTCATCTCTTTGTAGAGTCACTTGGAACAGTAACTTAGCAAACATGCCCAAGACAAGAGAATGAACTGTTTGAACTTCTTGTTTGAAAAATAGGATTTGGTTTCTTTTTTTTCTTTTCTTTTTTTTGCCTATGGAAAAGATAGGCATCAGTTTCATAGCCTGACCTTCAAAGCCTACGCTTGTCTTGAAATCCCAGCAAGGACATGGAGTACAGGTAATAGCACTGATTTTGAACCTGCCACGTCAGCTGGGAGTTGAGGGGTGCCTAGGAGCTTGCAGCCCCAGCTTTGCTTTTTATTTATTTTTTTACATTTCACTGACATGAAACGGAGCTTTGCGTCATTCTTGGCTCCTCTTGTAAAGCCAGAGTAAACCCCAGGTCCAGCAGAGTATTCTGATTGGAGTGAGCCAGGGACTAGCTATCAGGAGTTTAGGTCTAAATCCCAGACCTGCAGGTCTGCTCCTAAGCAGCTGTGTGACCCTGGGCAGATCATTGCCCTTTCTGTGCTTCTCCACTAACAGAGGGGGCTTCATAATGCCCAGCCCTCAGGGTGTCAGAAGTGAGAAACATCAGTACCTCAGCATTTCGTACGGGACACCTGAGCACTGGGTAGGAACCCTGACTGAGATATAGAGTGAGGAGGTTGGAAGTGGCAC